ATGAAGAGTACGATGTCGTCCGCATAGGCGACCACGTTGCCGCGGCCCAAGGTCCTCTCGAGGCGGCATAGCAGAGGTCCAACTCCGATGCTGAAGAGCGCGGCGCTGAGACGGCAGCCCTGCCTCACCCCGTTGAGAAGCGGGAAGGCCTTGGTGTAGACATCTCCGACCCGAATGGAGGCGTATGCTTCCCCGTAGAGGACAGCAATCCACCCTAGGAAGGTAGATGGTAGGCCCAGCTTCTCCAGCAGGGCGAACAGGTAGCTCCTGCTCAGGGTGTCGAAGGCTGACTTCAGGTCCAAAGAGATGACAGCCAGCGACGTGTCATGTCTGGATGCCCCAGCGGCTTCGTCAGACACTCGCGCGATATTCCAGGAAGATAACCGTCCTGGAACGGCGTAGGTCTGACATTGGGGCACCAGGTCTGGCAGATGACTTCGCAGACGAGCCATGAGCACGCCGCTGAGGACCCTGTAGTCGGTCGTTGGCAGGCTGATTGACCGGAATGCCTGTAGACCCGGACCATCGTGCACTTTCGGCAGCAAGATCACCTTGCTGCGCCTTGAGGATGGAGGTAAGGCCCCGCGGAGTCAAGAAGCCTCGAAGAACTTCGGCGAAGAAATCTTCAAAGGCTTTGACAAACTCGCAGGGGAGTCCGTTCCATCCCGAGGCACGGCCATTTGGCAGGCGATGGATGGCTGCCGCTATCTGGTCGCGGGAGATGTCGGCGAGAAAGAGCTGGTCCCACTCGTCGAACTCCAGTGGGGTCACTTCAGCTAGGAAGTCGGCGATGGCTTCTTCCGAGCTTGGAGCCTGAGCGAAGCGACTGCTTAAGCGCTCAGAAGGAAACGCCTAAGCTGGCCCCCGGAGATGGCGTTGCCGTCGTCGTCGGTGAAGGTGGAGGGAGAGCGGCGTCTGGCTCGGAGGGAACGCCCGAGGTCCGACAAGGAAGGATAGTCGGAGCGGGCAGTGTCGTCCTCCAGTCTCCGCCTCAGGAAGAGGCTTGCTCTCTCGATGTATCCACCGCCGGACTCGGCGACGGCAGGCGCGAGTGACCGATTCTCCGCGACCAGATCTGCCTTGATCCTGGTCCAGTGTACCCATAACATCGGGGGTGAGAGATTTGCTAGGTCTACCGATATTTCATCGATGAACGTTTCCATTCGATCGAAGAACAGGTCTGACCGTAGCAGCTTGCCGATGCAGGGAAGTCTTGTAGGAACTGGGTCTCCTACTTGGATCAGGACGGCACGGTGGTCCGAGTAGGCGTAGTCGATGGTTTGTTATTGGGTGACGCGGTCGCAGAAGCCTGATGGAAGTAGGATTTTGTCCAGACGTCGCGCGTCTACCCGACTTCCGATAGTAGCAACCCTGGTGTGCTCCAGTGCAGCATCGAAGAAGGTGGCGATGTCGACGAGGTCAGCTTGGTCCAGGAGCTCCGCGAGGGCTTCTGCTGAACCTGATGCCATGTCCTTCGCCGACTCCTCGGAGATGTTCAAATCACCGAGGATCCACGCACCTTCTTCACGCGCCAAAGCTACGATGATCTGGAGCTGGCAGCAGCGCTCTTAAGGAGCATGAGAGACGTGGGCGTTGACACACGTCATGGAGACTACCCGGACGGTGAGGTCGATGACAGCCATCTTGCCAGGCCATAGGATCTGCTGCCAGTGAACAACGACGCCGGCCGCGAAGACGCAGGCGAGGCCTGATCCCACGGTGGTCGTTGAAGGCACAACGACGGCGCTGTAGCCGTGGCAGAGGTCTCCTTTTTCGTCCAAGGATATGACGTTGGTCTCCTGCAGGAAGCATATGTCAATCTCATGCTCATTGAGAAAACAGCAGAGCTGGATTCTCCGGCGAAGAGCGGCGATGTCGCGCGTGTTCAGGGTTGCAATTCGGAAGCTCATTTTGGCTGCCGAGCAGAGTTCCTAGCGCGTGACAGCTTCTTGTACAGGGTGTCACTAGTGTTCCCTGTCAGAGCCATAAGCGCTGTGGACAAGGTGTCGATGGCCTGTCTCTGTTTGGTGTTAGATTGAGCCAGAAGCTTATCCATCACGCCATTGTTGGTGAAGGCCTGGAGGAGTTTCTCTCTCTCCAGCCCCAACTTCTGAACGCTGGCGATGGCTACAGAAGCTCTATCGTTCTTCATGAGAACGTCCATTTGCTTCTGAGCTTTTGTACGCCGATTCTGAGTTGATGGAGGCTCTTGAGAAGTGTTTAGTATCTCGGTTGGAGAAGGAGCTGCTTCGACCGCCTTATCTGTCTGAGCAGTGCCGCTGGGAGGAGGCTCTGCGGCGACAGAAACAGCCGGTGGTGGGGCCGCAACAGGAGGAGGAGGGGCGCTCGACGTGGTGGGAGGCTTGCTAGCGGCATTCAAGCCCACAACGGGAGCATCCACAGAGAGCAACAACTTGTTCTCCTGCAGGCCGGTCTTCCATGGACAATTGGCACGTTTTTGCCCCTGCTTGTAGCACAGGGAGCACTTAATGCGATATGTCACGTAGATTTGGGTGGCCATCCCTTTGGACTCGACATCCAGACGGGCAGGGATCTGGGAGAGCTTCACTCCGTCTCGCAGAGTGATGAAAGCCTCCCGACGGGAATCAGCCCAGGAGGAGTCGTCCCACTCCATCCACTTCTGGACAATGGAGGTCACTTGTCCGTAGGGCCGAAGTGCTGCGACGAGATCAGCATCCTCCACGAAGAAGAGGACGTTGCCCAACACAATACGTTCGGCCCTTTTCCTCGGAGGGAAAGCCCGCAGGGTGGCATCTTCGATGTCGAGACCCTCCTCGACGAGCTTGTCGGCGAGCTGTACGCTGGAGAGGCCGACCAGGATTTGCCCCTCCATCTTCGCCAGCTGGTAGACGGTGCCCTTGCCCAGCTTCGCTTCCAGCGCCAGAAAGTACTGGGCCTGACTGGGCCTGGCTGAAGTCTGGGCAGAATTCTAGGTAGACACATTGTTCTACCTTCGCCACCGCCGACCCTGCTTTTGCCGGGTCGTCGTACATTCCTGTACCTTGGACCTGAGCGCTGGGCGTTGGGTGAGGGTTGGCTTCGCGGCCGCTGCCTGGAAGCAGCCCCTCTTGGCTTTCCGTCCTGCCGCATCGGAGTCCACTGGCCTCTTTCTCCTTGGTTCCACCTTGGTGAGGCCGTCTGTTTCCTCCTCCATCGGGAGTTGTTTGCCTTGTTCGACGAGGTCAGCCCAGCTCGTCGAAGGCTTGCCTGTACCAGGCACTGGTTCTTTGGTGTGGCCCTCAGTTACCACTGGGGTCTGAGGGGTGCAGATGGCATCAGCAGATGTTGATGACGAATGGCTTTCAGCCAAGGTCATTTGAGCTTGGAGGGGTGGGGAATCCCCTATAAAAATTCAAAAGTTTTCTTCTCTTCGGAGGCGGTTGTAATTTTCAAGCCTCTAGAGTTGGGGCAGGAGCTCGCGCCCGTGCATCCTCGCACCTCGCACGGCGTGTTTGAGGGATTGCGGAGGTTGGTGGCATGTTTAGTATGTCCGTTTACTCTATCTTTGGTGTTGGGTGTAGGGATGGAGATATTAGTGGGGATGTGGCATTTGGTGTTGTGTAAAAAATATTTGTTTATAATCTCGTCGTATGCTCTTTTGGTGTAGTGAAGTTCTTGTTTTCTGTGTGTTAGTGTGTGTTCGAATGCTCTAATGATGCCTTCGCACGCTGCTGCAGTGTGTTCGATTATAATGTTATCGCATTTGTGATGCTGGAGGTTTTTGCCCAGAATAATATTAGTACATTTTAAAGGACTGCGGCGTATGATTATAAAACAACACTTAAAGTTTCACCGCATAAGTTTCTTTTCTGTGAAAAATCAATATTTATTTCAAAGAGAAATATTTACTATTTCTAACTTTTTTTTTTTATGAAGTATGAAAGGGTGAAAATATGAAGAGTAATGGCGAACGGAAAAATAAAAGTGTCCAGGGGCGGGAATCGAACCCACAACGTTCCGCTTACCGGGCTGATGCCATGTCCACTAGGCTACCCGGGACGTATTTTTCCGTTCGTAAATAATACTTAAAGTAATTTATAATACATTATAAAGGACTGCGGCGTATGATTATAAAACAACACTTAAAGTTTCACCGCATAAGTTTCTTTTCTGTGAAAAATCAATATTCATTTCAAAGAGAAATATTTACTATTTCTAACTTTTCTAACATTACTCTTCATATTTTCACCCTTTCATACTTCATCCAAAAAAAAAAAAGTTAGAAATAGTAAATATTTCTCTTTGAAATAAATATTGATTTTTCACAGAAAAGAAACTTATGCGGTGAAACTTTAAGTGTTGTTTTATAATCATACGCCGCAGTTCTTTATAATGTATTATAAGTTACTTTAAGTATTATTTACGAACGGAAAAATACGTCCAGGGTACCCTAGTGGACATGGCATCTGCCCGGTAAGCGGAACGTTATGGGTTCGATTCCCGCCCCTGGACACTTTTATTTTTCCGTTCGCCATTACTCTTCATATTTTCACCCTTTCATACTTCATCCAAAAAAAAAGTTAGAAATAGTAAATATTTCTCTTTGAAATAAATATTAATTTTTCACAGAAAAGAAACTTATGCGGTGAAACTTTAAGTGTTGTTTTATAATCATACGCCGCAGTCCTTTATAATGTATTATAAGTTACTTTAAGTATTATTTACGAACGGAAAAATACGTCCAGGGTAGCCTAGTGGACATGGCATCTGTCCGGTAAGCGGAACGTTGTGGGTTCGATTCCCGCCCCTGGACACTTTTATTTTTCCGTTCGCCATTACTCTTCATATTTTCACTCTTTCATACTTCATCCAAAAAAAGTTAGAAATAGTAAATATTTCTCTTTGAAATAAATATTGATTTTTCACAGAAAAGAAACTTATGTGGTGAAACTTTAAGTGTTGTCTTATAATCATACGCCGCAGACCTTTATAATGTATTATAAGTTACTTTAAGTATTATTTACGAACGGAAAAATACGTCCAGGGTAGCCTAGTGGACATGGCATCTGCCCGGTAAGCGGAACCAGTGCTGTAGTGGAGGGTATACGGGGGTATACGCCGTATACCCAATGCTTTTTAAATTTAGATAGCGTATACCTAGTGGTTTTACTTAAAAATAGCGTATACCCTATGATTTTGTTCAAATTTTTTATTTAAAATTTATTATTTTCTTTCTTTGTAATAGTAAAAAAAAAATGATGATAAAAATTGTACTGAAAAATTGCAAAAAATTTTCAAATTAACAATTCACACAAAATATTTCATTCATTTAGTAAAAATTTCTTGGAAAAAATATATCAACTATATTCAAATTAATAATCAAACAAGCCTCCTTTAACGAAAAACGGAAAACGAATTCTCAAGCGTATACCCTATGCTAATTTTACGACTACAGCACTGAGCGGAACGTTGTGGGTTCGATTCCCGCCCCTGGAAATTTTTTTTTTCCGTTCGCCATTACTCTTCATATTTTCACCCTTTCATACTTCATCAAAAAAAAAAGTTAGAAATAGTAAATATTTCTCTTTGAAATAATTATTGATTTTTCACAGAAAAGAAACTTATGCGGTGAAACTTTAAGTGTTGTTTTATAATCATACGCCGCAGTCCTTTATAATGTATTATAAGTTACTTTAAGTATTATTTACGAACGGAAAAATACGTCCAGGGTAGCTTGTGGACATGGCATCTGCCCGGTAAGCGGAACGTTGTGGGTTCGATTCCCGCCCCTGGACGCTTTTATTTTTATCTTCGCCATTACTCTTCATATTTTCACCCTTTCATACTTCATCCAAAAAAAAAAGTTAGAAATAGTAAATATTTATCTTTGAAATAAATATTGATTTTTCACAGAAAAGAAACTTATGCGGTGAAACTTTAAGTGTTGTTTTATAATAATATTAGTGTTACGAGCCATTCTATTATGTCATCGTTAGTCATGGTATTGAGTTGTTCAGTATCTGGTAGGTCAGGATATTTAAAAACTTCAGATAAGACGTGGGTAGGATGGTTTATGGGTGTTATGGGTGTTGTACAGTATATGTTATGGGTGGGCGTAGCGTTTATATTATCCATTGTTGTTAGTTGAGGGGTATTTAGGGTACACAGTTGGTGGCCGTTCGGGAGAGTCTAAAAGGCAGTGACTTTGTAGTCTTCAGTTCTTGGGAGGTTGGTAGCGGTATAGCTAGTAGGGGGGTAGTAGAACCAGTAGTTAGTAGTAGAGCCTGTAGTTGGCAGCAGGTCCAGTTGTTAGCAGTAGAGCCAGTAGTTAGCAGTAGAGTCAGTGGTTAGCAGTAGAGCCAGTGGTTAGCAGTAGTGCCAGGAGTTGGCATTAGAGCCAGTAGTTAGCAGTAGAGCCAGTAGTTAGCAGTAGAGCCAGGGGATGGCAGTAGAGCCACCAGTAAAGCCAGTAAGGTAGCTTTAGAGCCAGGGTCTTCAAGGAAGCACAGAGAAGAGATCTTCTCTGGATGAAATCCAGGGGAGGGGGAGGAACAACAACAATCGGTTTTTATAGGGTAAGCGTGACCTCTGGCGGTCGATTTAACAGAGTATTTGTATCTATGAAATATAATTTTAAATAAAATAATATTTTAATATAACATATGTGTATATATATATATTTCAAATATTGTTGTAAATTATTTATTATTTTATTAACAGATTATTTTTAATAGAGAAATCCATTAATAGATCTTTGATTAAAATGCCATATATTGGATCAAAATATCATTTATTTTACCAATATTTCAGTTGGGGCTGAGAACGCCAAATCTTTATCAAGGTTTCATTCATACCTTTATTTCACAAAATTTATTTTGTCCATAATATATGTCATAATATATATTCTTCTAGTAATAATAAAGCCAACCTACAGACAACCCAGAGAGAGACGGGAGGGTAAAGTACAGTCACTTGAGACACCAGCGCCATTCCAAGGGGCGACCACTGGGGTCCGTCACTTAACACCGGGGACTTTTAAGACAGTTGGGGATGGTGTGCGACACGAACGGACGCCCGGCTGTGCCGGTCCCGTCTCTCTCTCTGGTTGTCTGGGTTCCTCTTCCAAATTGTGGTGTGTTTCTTTCCCCCACCTTTCATACCACATATATATCAAAAAATATTTTCTCCCCATTGATTATAGGCAAACATATTTTTTTAATTATTTCAATTGGCGCTATGTGGCGCTGAGATTCTTGTTTACACACATTTTTTTTTTTTTTTAAATAGAGCAAAAATAAATTTTTAATCAAAAAAAGGCCTATATTTTACAATTTTACATTTAAATTTATTTTAATATTTTATTTTAACCAAGTTTTCAAACATTTTTTGCGCTTTGTGTTTTCGGTGAACATTTTAGTTTAACATTTTCTTTTATATATATTTTGTTATTTTTATTTATTTTTCTATACGAAAAATCTTTTTTTACACATAGTATAAGTAAATTTAAATATTAAAATACAAAACTATTTTAGAGGCGTAATATTCTTTTCAAAATAAAACAATTTCTACTGTCCTTACTGCAATGGAAAAATTAAAGGGAGGGCCTGGCTCATTACAACAGTATCACTATAAAAGGAAGTTCCAAAAATGCAATATAACAGCGGGTATGGTAGATTAAACTGGCGAAACCGCTGGGAGGGTTCACCACTGATGAGCCAGGCCCTCCCTTCAATTTTTCCATTGCAGTAAGGACAGTAGAAATTGTTTTATTTTAAAAAGAATATTACGCCTCTAAAATAGTTTTGTAATTTGATAACAGATGGCGCGCTAGTGCATCGTAATATAATTGTTCAAATAAAAGACACAATTTGATATTTGCGGAAGAGCGATTGCTCGAAGCATATTATATATTTATAATTATATTAAATTCCGCTGTCCTAAAAGCTTATGTCCATAGTTCTTCTAAAATACCCATTCCAAGAGTCTTACAACAGTCAACTATAAAAGGAAGTTCCAAAAATGCAATATAACAGCGGTATGGTAGATTAAACTGGCGAAACCGCTGGGAGGGTTCACCACTGATGAGCCAGGCCCTCCCTTTAATTTTTCCATTGCAGTAAGGACAGTAGAAATTGTTTTATTTTAAAAAGAATATTACGCCTCTAAAATAGTTTTGTAATTTGATAACAGATGGCACCCTAGTGCATCGTAATATAATTGTTCAAATAAAAGACACAATTTGATATTTGCGGAAGAGCGATTGCTCGAAGCATATTATATATTTATAATTATATTAAATTCTGCTGTCCTAAAAGCTTATGTCCATAGTTCTTCTAAAATACCCATTCCAAGAGTCTTTCAACAGTCAACTATAAAAGGAAGTTCCAAAAATGCAATACTGAGGATAGGGCTTCCGAAGCCAACTGCGCGGACGTGTTTTTCCTCGCTCGTCTCGCGGACACCGACCGTGCGGTTCCTCCTTCCGCGCTCCTGCCTCCGCCCTTTCGCGGGGTCCGCTGCCTTCTTCTCCACGCGGGTTCCCCTGCCGTGGGACCACCTCCACCCTGTTCCGTCCCCATGACCTCTTTTTTGGCCAAATTCAGCTGCCGAACGGTTGTTCTTTTTTAATTCCTCGGTCCTCCCGGGCGGCCGCCTGGCACCGTCTGCCGCCCTGAATATTTTCCTGCGGGCGTCCAATCAGAGCGCTGGACCTCTTGAACGGCCGCACGCCGCCACTCGACCTCCCTCCACTGCCTGGAGAGCTTCTAACCTCCGCCGCGCTGGCTCCACCGCCCTCCCCTGCGAGCGGCGGCCACGCCGCCCGCCGCCACACACCCGGCGGGCCCTCCCACCGCCGCTCCGCCAGTGGTGGGTCCGCTCCGGCCTGCGCCCTCTTCACAGCGCCCCCCATGGGGGCCACCCCCACCTCTTCAGCTTCAGGGGGCTCTCCGCCCCCCCCGGGGGCCACCCCCACCTCTCCAGCCCCAGGGGGCACCCCGCCCTCCCTGGGGGCCACCCCCACCTCCAACGCCTCCTTCTCTCCTGGGGGCTCCCAGTCTTCCTCCCAGAACACCTCTTCGTACGACTTCGCCTGCAGGGCGGCCCTCACCAAGATGTTCGACTCTGTGCTGGACCCTTCTTTCGGAGGCGCCCCCATCCACTGCAGACGGCCTGGGGTGAGTGCATCCACCCCTCTTCACCCCCCACCTGCCACTTCCAGCTCAGGCCCTGAACTGAACTCTGATTTGTCACCTTTTAACTTTGCATTGTCCTCACCTCCACCCACATGCCCCTACTCTTTTGCCTCCAATTCGCCATCATTGTTTAAGGCTTTTGATTGGGCGTCCGACAACTGCACAAAGCTGTGTCACCATATTAGTGACACAGACAGCAATCTTGGTGCTCTTATCTCCTCACACCTTGAAAAAATTATTGCAACCCTTAAGGATTCCTACACTCGTAGAATCCATGAATTGGAGTTCTCTTCCTCTCTGCTGTTGGCCGCCCAACCAAATCCCTCTACCCATCTCCCCCCTACCAATAATTTGTGTACCTTACCTGCCACTACTGTTACACCTACTACCGCAGTTGTTGCCGACACTCCCACGCCACTCCAGCCCACTCATGACTCGTTCGCTGGGGTCGCCTCCCGACCACCCTCCGCTAACCCCCCACCCCACCAACCCCCTCCACGTCACTCACCCCCTATCCCTCCCCGCCGCCCCACTCCCCATTCCAACCGCAACAACCCCTTCCACATCCTCATCACCCAGGACCCCTCTGCTAGCACCCCCATCGACAACAACCTAGGCTCAAAGATTTCTTTCTCCTCCCTCAATACTCCCTCCACCCAAATCACTAGCATATTCCGCGCCCGCAACAAGATCACCATACACACTAACTCAAAAACTAGCATGGACACTATGTACGCTAAACTTAAAAATGCAACCAACGGCACTAACATCAGTGTCAACCTCCCCCCCACCTTTAAACCCCGCTTCACCCTCTTCAACCTCCCCAACACCATCCCACTCAGTGACCTGCCCTCCCTCCTCACCCAATCTGTAGGCTCTTACTGCAAGCTAATTAGAACTTTCACCGGTCGCAATAACTCCACACACGCAGTCATTGAAACCGACAACGACACTGCCACCCAAATACAAGCTCGCACCCGCATTTTCCTGGGGTACAACTCAATCAGATTTGACAGAACCAGGTCAACACACCCTTGCCGTAATTGCGGTGACATCCGTCACCGCAATGATATTTGCAACAAACCCCCCAGATGCCTCCATTGCGGCGAAGGCCACATTACCAACAATTGCACCGCCACCGCCCTCCCCCTAAATGCTTCCGCTGCAACGGCCAACACAGGGCAGACTCCCTCTCCTGCCCGGTCATCAAGGCCGCAGAAACCACATTCCTCAATACCCACCACCTGCCTTAAATGATTAAGTTTTTACAGCTTAACTGTAACCGATCCCTCCCTTGCTACC